CACCAAAATACTTGGAGGGTGGCTGGTCTCCCGGTTTAACACCTTCCCTAGTGGCACGGACTGCTGGCTAGAATGTAAGGCATTAAAAGGGATAAACAGATCCCTAAATGGGGAGCGTGCGACCCAGGTAGTGTGAAAAGACAACGTCTCCTTGGACCAGAATGGCACATAATCCATGACACCGACTGAGTCTCTGTTCTCTTCTAGATTATCTTTCCGTGATCTCCCTATTAGTATCTCTCCCTGGGTCCCTCTCCATTCTGTGCTTTCCTTTTTTTTTCTATATAGTGTGTGTGTGTGTAGGGCTGGCTGGATAGCTCAGTGATTCAGGTCGCCAGAGGTTGGGACTTAATTCCCACCACTGTGCCTCTTGTGAGTAGAGCCAGCCTATGTGACCCTGGGCCAGTTTCTGCACAGTCCTACGGCACCCCCAGAAGGAGGGAATGAGAAACCACTTTTGAGTACTCTTTACCTAGAAAAATCCTGGAAAAGATTCACCCTCAGTCAGAATGAACTTGACAGCACACAAATATTATTTAATTATAGTCGAGGGATGCCCAGCCACGTTATCCTCCGACAGAGGCTTATCTGCCTCCCCTCAGCCTATTCCTCCTGTAGAGGAATGTGAGGAGAATTTTGCTGCTTTCAGCCAGGGGCCCCGTCTGCTTCAGCATCCTCTTGAGGAGACCCCTCTGCCTCCCACCAGTTGAGTCACACAGGTCTACTGCCTTTGGGACTGGATTTATACGATTCGAAGAAAAACCAGAGTATTTTGGGACTGGAGGTTTTTATACTCATCCATGCTGACAACCACCATTACTTCTTGGGAACGAAGATTCCAGGTTCCACTGGACTGTGTGAAAAACAGACTTCTTTCTGTCTATGATGACCCTCTCCTGATTCAGTCACACCTGATAATCACAAAGTTTGGTCCTCTGGACAAAGAAGAAAAACTTTGGATGGGAGGGTAATTGATTTATGGCAATTTCTTCATCGTTTTGTGGAATAAACCAATTTTATCAGAGAAGGACAATGAGGTGATTTCACAAAATATATGGGCATGGTGTTTGTCATTTGGGCATCCCAACGGAAACTGTATTCAATTTTTTAAAGAATTTCTAAGATTAGGTCCATCGGTACACTCTGTGAGAACCACAGGCATGTTTCTACACACTCCCTCTGCCTTCCACGCCATTTTTTCGTGTTATTTCTGCTTTGTGACAGTTCAAGGAAATACCAGCTACACGCCTCAACCCTCTTGAGGTGGAGTCCGGGATGGGTTTTCTCACTTCCAAATATGCCCACAAGGGCCAAAATATGAAGGTCCCAAGGCTTAATACAAAATACAATGTGATGGTTCATTGGTCAAGTCCATACCTCGTCATCTCTGGAAATGTGTTGCTGCAATAAACGCAAAGTAAGTTAGACGAGAGTTATATGAAGGCCCCTTGGCTGTCATGGTGGGCCTCCTGCCGCCTTGACCAAGAGTGAAATCAACTTGTCCTGCGCTGTTGCAGAAAGGGCGCTATTGAACTGGAAAAGAGAAGAAAGAATAGTTCAGAGCATCTTTCCAAAAAAGAAAAATAATTGTTCTGAAGTTCCTGGGCTGAAGGAAAAGAAAAGATAGAAGTGAAAAGAATTTAAGAGATTTCAGAAATCATATACTCAGGATGTACCCTACACCCACTTTCTATACAGCGATAAATATATTTCCCTTTCCCGGATCTCCACAGAACACGATTGTATCTTGCACGTATAGGTCAAGAATTTGCAGTGCATATATCTGCATTGTCCTCAGATGTGTGGCTTCTTGGATGGCTCGTAAAATGAACTCCCTGCCCAGAGGTCTCTGCACACTCCATGAACTTCCACAGCATCTCTGCTCCTCTGTGGGTTCGGCTGTGAGAAGTGAGGTTCGCCCGTTGACTGAAACACTTCCCACATTCCAAGCACGCAAAGGGCTTCTCCCCCGTGTGGATCCTCGTATGGGAGACAAGGTGTGTCCTCTGATTGAACGTCTTTCCACATTCCAGGCATTGAAAAGGTTTCTCCCCCGTGTGGATTCTCATGTGAGAGCGAAAACTTGCCCCCTGATGGAAACTCTTCCCACACTGAACGCACTTAAACGGTTTCTCTCCTGTGTGGATTCTCATATGGGAACGGAGGGTGCTTCTGTGGCGGAAGCTCTTTCCGCATTCGGAGCATTTAAAGGACTTCTCCCCTGTGTGGATCCTTTGGTGGCAGGTAAGACTGCTCCTGTCCCGGAAGCTCTTTCCACATTCCAAGCATGTAAAAGGTTTGTCCTCTGTATGGACCCTCATGTGGGAAGCTAGGTTTGTGCTGTGATGGAAGCTCTTCCCACATTCCAAACATTCAAAGGGTTTCTCCATGGTGTGGATTCTTTGATGGGAATTCAGCCGGCTTCTTTTATGGAAGCGCTTCCCACATTCTAAGCATTCAAAAGTTTTCTCGCCCGAGTGGATTCTTTGATGGCAGCTAAGGGTGCTTCGATCGCTGAAGCTCTTCCCGCATTCCAAGCATGTAAAGGGTTTCTCCCCAGTGTGGATTCTCATGTGCCGAGCAAGATAGCAGTTTTGACTGAAGCTCTTTCCACACTCTGAGCAGGTGAAGGGTTTCATCCCCGTGTGGATTCTCATGTGGCGAGCAAGGCTTGGGTTGTGACCAAACCTTTTCCCACATTCTGGGCATTCAAAGGGTTTCTCCCCCGTGTGGATTCTTTGATGGGAGCTAAGGGTGCTTCGATCACTGAAGCTCTTCCCACATTGCAAGCATTCAAAGGGTTTCTCCCCCGTGTGGATTCTCATGTGAGAAACAAGGTATCGGCTCTGACTGAAGCACTTCCCACATTCCGGGCATGGAAACGGTTTCATCCCGGTGTGGATTCTCATATGGCGAGCAAGGCTAGTGCTGTGGCTGAACTTGTTTCCACATTCTCGGCATTCAAATGGTTTCTCCCCTATGTGGAGTCCAATAGGAGAGGAAAGGTCTGGATCCGCGCTCCGACTGATGCCCTTTTCACAATCCATGTATCTCAACGGTTCCTCTTCTCTCTGCATCATCCGATCTGTTTCTGGGGACAACGTACCACAAAAGTCATTGTATTCTGCACACTGCATTATTTTCTGCTCTTGGTGGATCTCCCAGCAAACTTGTTGACTGTCCTGAGAGTTGAAGCCTTCCCTGCCCAGTGAGAACTTGTGACCTTCGTTGCTGAGGTCCATTTCTCCTTCGAGAGAATTTCCATGTGGAAAAGGAAAGGACTCATTGCTCTTCTCTTCTATTTCAGTTTTTATCCACTGGGTTTTCTCCCCAACAGTAACCTTTTCTACTTGAAGGGGTTCTTCCTTAGACCTGTTCTCTCCCACGAGAGCTGAAATAAAACAGAAAAGAAAAACCTGGTGTGTACCGAAAATGTAAAGTCAAATCTCAAACCGGGAAATGAAACCAATTAAATATAAAGGAATTTAAACACAATTAACTGGAATCCTAGCACCTGCAGAACACCTGAGAAAGTGTCAGGGTGCTGCAGGAATGTTATGCGATTTGACATTGTTGTGATGCTCCTAATTGGATTTCCTGAGTTGAACTTTAATTTATCATAGAGCCCTGAAGTGTAACAAATTTATCTGCATGTGACTTTCTGTAGGAGTGAGCTGTGTCTTGAGACACATGGCCATCCAGGAAAACTGGTAGTGAGATAAATTTGTTTATCTTAAATTTACCACAATACTTTTTTTTACCAATTTTGTTTTGTCTCGTATTTCGTTGTGCTGTAAGAGAATAACATGGTGACCTCTCTGAAATTGGCTATAACGCAAGGAAAGCTCACCCAGAGACACGGGCCAAATTTACCACAATACTTTTTTTTACCAATTTTGTTTTGTCTCGTATTTCGTTGTGCTGTAAGAGAATAACATGGTGACCTCTCTGAAATTGGCTATAACGCAAGGAAAGCTCACCCAGAGACACCACATGGGCCAAATTCTCCTCCGTGACTTCCTGGTGGAGAGTTCGTTGGCCAGGATCCAGTAGAGCCCACTCCTCCATGGAAAAATGCACAGCAACATCCTCAAAAGCGACAGAAGCCTGAAATAAACATGATGATAATATATGTAAACCTATTAAGGACTTGGGTATAAATATTCCAAACATCTTACAATATTTGAAAAAGGAAAATTTTTGGTAAGTTGAAGGAAGAAATGTAAAATAAGCTAGAAAAATGCAGAAAGATTGGATGATCATGGTTTGGTAGAACAGCAATATGTAAAAAGAAGATTTTACTCAATATTGCTCTTTCTTTTTAATTTATGCTGTTTACCGATAAAGATATCAGAAGAAGAGCTGAAATACTGGCAAAATATGTTTAATAAATTTTGTAATGAAGATAGAAGAGCAAAGATTAATAAAAAGAGATGGTATATCAAGAAGTAGGCATTTATTTCCATAAGTGATAGGAATGTGAGAATGTATAAAAATTTGGGGGGCTGATTCTTAAGTATTTCCATAAGTGATAGGAATGTGAGAATTTATAAAAATTTGGGGGGCTGATTTTTAAGGGAAAAAATGAAATACTAAAGTTAAATATTGAGGTTTGCCCTAAGATAGCTCTCTATATTAATATAAATTGTATATTTTACATAAATTATATAAATTTTATATTTTAGATAAAATATTATATATGTATGTTTATATACATGTATGTGTGTGTGGACTTGTATAACAAAACAATCTGAAATGCGCTAGCTGCAACCCAATTAATTACAGCAAGGAATTGGAAGGTTAAGCATGGTACAAACAGATCTAGAATTAGTGACAATTAGTGGCATTTAGTGACAAATTAATTTGTAATATGAAAATTAAGACGACATTGTTCTATTATACCAATCAAATTGGCCTTCTTGGATTGGCCTTCTCAGCCACACTAGATGCTGTTCCAAGACCTCTGTTCAGAGCACCTTACCATAGGCTCTCGAGACTAAAGGATGCCTACTACTATAGTTCTACAGCAATACATTTATTGATATTCTGGGGAACTTTATCGAGTTTTTTAAAAAGGGAACAGTTGTTTACTTTCACAAGAATGAATGCAGTTTTGGAAGGGGAATAAGGCTCCGTTAAAAAGAAGAAGAAAAATAAATTATATATGCAGATGAAGTGTGTGTGTGTGTGTGTGTGTGTGTGTGTGTGTGTGTGTGTACACTTTTGTATTTGTTTTATATTATCAAAGAAAGGAGAAACGAAAGAAAGAAAGTGATTGGACCCTTGAACAAAATGAAGCTTCTTATCCCTAGATTGCTCTCCCTTTTTAAAGTGCATTCCAGGAGAGAAGAACATCAACAACGGCGAGGCTCAACCCTTCACAGGTCATTTTCCCAAGCTTCTTCACAAGCATTTGTGGCAAAAGCGAATCCAACGAGGAAATTTCTTTCAGTCCCAGAGAGGAAACTGAGGTTCCAACACACACACCCCGCCCGCTCCTCATCTCCCCATCCGTTTCCCCCTTACCTGTTGTGGCTGCACAGGCCCTCCTTCCATTCGCCCACAAAGAAGAGATGAGGCAGGATCCGTCCCCAGGATGCTTCCAGGGTCTGCAAAGGGAGACCAAGGAGTGGGAAGATAGTCACTCTTCCTAAACATTTTATCCCTTACCTGCATAAAAACAAAAGTCATTCCTCCTGCTTGGATTAGCAAAAGTTTAAATGTCTATGAGAATGTAGAGGACCTAAAACAGATCCTTCTAAGGGAAAGAAGAATTCTTAATATTTTAAATAAGGAACTTGTCAACCTAGGAGCCTATAAGAGTCAGTACAAGGCGAATACACTGATGAAGTGGTCGATCTGACCAGATGAGCGGAATATAAATCAAATAAATAATAATAATAATGAATTTCTCACCTGGCAAAGCAGCTCCTCGGCTCTTCTTCTTTGCATTCTTCAGAACAAGAGGCCTGCGTTTTGGGTGCCACAGAGCATCTAATGCCTGAGGAAAGCCACAGAAGAATTCTGAAAACTCCTGCACGTAGAATAAAATAAGGACAACCAGCACAGAGGCGGAGAAAGAAATTAAAGGAATAACAGTGCAAGAAAAGATCTCAGCTTTAAAAACAAAAGGGGACACGCTCTGGTTAGGTAAATGTCCACAAAAGGAAGAACGCTTTCTCAGCCATTCAGGAAAACCAGAACTCTCACCAGCTGCTTCTCCTCCTGCTTCTTCTCCGCTCTCTGGCTCAGGAGGAAACCTTCCGCCAGGGACACGGCCTGGGAAGTGGATTCCGGCTTGCACTCCCTGACCCACATGCCCATCGCTGGAGGCAGGACAGCCAGGAACTGTTCAAGGATCACCAAGTCCAGCATCTCGGCCTTGGTGTGTTTTTCTGGCTTCAGCCACTGACGGCAGAGACGGTGGAGTTGGCTACAAACCGCCCGGGGCCCCCAATCTTCCTGGTAGGAGAACTCTTGGAAATGCTGGCTCCGGACCTCTGGGCCAACGGGGTCCCCATATAGATGGTTCTCTGCGTTTTTTTTCGGGAATTCTTCTTTGCACCGAACCTCCATGTCATCTGGCTGTTTCTTAACTTCAGCATCAACAAAGTCTTTCACATTCATCTTCCCCCGAGTCAAAGGAATGGAAAGGAATGAGGCCTCTTCTCTCTAGAAAAGACACAAATAATAACGATCGCATTATAAGTCATCTTGAGTCCTGCAAGGGAGAAAGGCAGGGTACATAAATAAATAAGCAAAAATAAACAAATACATGATTGGTTGTTGTGGGTTTTTTGGGCTCTTTGGCTGTGTTCTGAAGGTTGTTCTTCCTGATGTTTCTCCAGTCTCTGTGGCCGCCATGGACAGAGTTCCTACTCCAGTCCTCTGAAGATGCCGGCCACAGAGACTGGCGAAACATCAGGAAGAAAAACCTTCAGAACACGGCCAAAGAGCCTGAAAAACCCACAACAACCATTAGATCCCGGCCGTGAAAGCCTTCGCAAATACATGATTTGTAAGAAAGCCTGCAGTGAGCAGCTGAACCCCCTCATCTCTGCACTGTTATCATCCTCATAATGTGCCATTCTTACTTACAGAGACCCTTTCCAGAGTTTTTCAAGTAGAGAAGACTCAAAAGGGGTTTATTATTCCCTTTTTCTTGAGGCGTCCTGGGACTGTCCAGCTTACACTTCACCCTGAAGGCCCAGTGGAGAACCAAACTCCGAACCTCTGGCTCTGAAGCCAGAGACCTCTACCCCCGAGCTATCCAGCCAGCTCAGAAAAGACACACAAGCCTCCTAACAATTCAGGGAGAACCACCTTTGCCCCTTCGATTAAAAGCCAAGGGTTCCCACCCTTGTTGAAGCACTTTAGCACCCTAGGATTTTTTCTCAGTTAGGGAGTAATGCTTCCCAAGTTCTCTTGAGTTCTCTGCCAACAAGGCACAATGTCATCTTTTCCATCAGAGGTGGGCCTGACCAAACCTTCTGCTCAGGAAAAGGCATGTAGTTTACACAATAGTGAACAAATGGAATAAAACAAGTACATGACAGTGAGAACAATAAGAATGTACATTAAAAGAGACAGAAGAGAGACACATCCCACAGACATGGTAAGGAGATGAGATGGATTCTCTTAAAGGCAGACACAGGACGGGCACGCCGCAGTATTTGGTGGCAAATTAATTTGGGTGGAGGGAACAGGTCACATATGACAGACACATCTGGAGGTTTAACAAGTGTCAAGGCTGTCCTTGGGATTTGGGAAATCCTTGGGATTTGGGAAAGGTTCGTCCAAGACAATGCTGGCGCTCCTCACCCTGTCTTTCTCTCTACCGCGCAAGGGGGTCAAAGGGACACCCGGGCTCTCTTCCCCAGCCCCCTCCCTTCTCTCCTAGGTGCTGCATCCATACTACAGGGTATCACATCGCACACACCTGGTTGTGAGCTGGAAGACGCTGGAGGGTGGGTGCCCAAGTTTTAAACCTGAGCCACACAATGGTTAACAACATTTTCCATTTTCTGTGGCTGTTTTGCCCTGAGATTTCTCTCCCTGCCTGTTAATCTGGGGAAGCCTCAAAATTTTATCCAGCATCCTGGGACCTCGGCACCTAGAGATGCATGATCCGTCGTTCTTTGATTTACATGGAGCCTCATCACAGCCCCTTCTCTCCCCCCCCCCAAAAAGAACATCAAGGGATTAAGGCCATGTCGTTCACCAACCAGCTAAAGGTGATGTCGCCGCTCCAACAAGGAAAGGATCTTCTTCCTTCAGCCAGAGAAGGGCACCAACCTTCTTTCTTAGGTCACACACAGGAGTCTGCAGTATATACTAGCCTTCTATATAGGCATCAAAGGGAGAGGGGGCACTTCACCTATTCCACCCCCCCACACACACACACACCTTCCCAGTCTGCAGAGATCTCATAAGGAACCTAAGAAGAGCCCTGCTGGATCAGACCAAGAGCCCATCTGGTCCACCGTCCTGGATCTCACTGTATCTCCACCAGGTGGCTCTGGGGGTACCCGGGACAACTAGAGACAGTATAACTGTCTCCTGATTCCCCCTTCCCTGCCTCTGGCATCTCTTTCCAGTCCGCCGACCACCACCACCAGTGCAGGCACCAGTTGTAAGGCAGGGAGGGCTCCACTTGGCAGACTGGAAGGAAGGAGCTCAAAGAAGAGGAGAAGGTGGTGCTGGTTTTTAGGGGCGATCCCTACAGGAGGCTCCCCTCCCCTGGGAAGGAAGGGAGGGCTGCCTGGCTCTTCCAGGGACTCCCCTCTCCATCCGAGGCTCCCCTTCTCTGCCGACCCTCCGCCCGCCTTTCCCTCCAAAGCCAAGCTTCGTCTCTCTCCCAGTCGACCTTCCCCACCCGTTCAGATCCAGATCCCTAGGAAACTGGGGGATCCGTGGGGAAGGCTTGGCTTCCCAGGCTGGAAGGAAGGCGTTCCCGGAGGAGGAGGAGGGTTTGTTGGTGGGGGGGGGAAGAGACGACCCCCAAAGGAGGCTCTCCCTCCCCGGCCTTGGAAGGGAGCCTGGATTTTCCAGGGACTCCCCACCAGCCGAGGCTCCCTTCTTCCTGCCTCTGCCCTCCACGAAGCCTCGGTCGGCTGCCTTTCCAGTCCAAGCCTCGGGAGGAGGGAGGGGCGGCCGAGTCTCCCCGGGTCTTCCAGCAGGCCGAGGCCCCCCACCTTTCTCCCGGCCAAGGGCTGCCCCACCGCGGCCTCCCCTCCTGAGCCGGCACTCGCTCGCTTCCCGGACCTTCCAAAGGAATCACCTGCAGCCCCGCCCGGAACTCCCCAGAGGGGAATCCTTGGAGGGAAGGAAAAAGGCGAGGCACCTCAGAGGCGGAAACAGGAAGTGAGCCTTCAAGCATCACGCCTCTCCTTCCTGCGGGACGCTCTGGGACTCGCTGGTCGATGGCTTTAACCCCTTTGTGAGGCAAGCCGAAGTCGGAAAGAAGCCTCTGGGGAGAACAAATGGCTCGAAACCTCACCCCGTCAATTGGTGTCCAGTTTGGTATTGGTGGGGGGTCGCTCTCCTCCAAATGCTGCTTGCACGCCAGGCTTGCTGAACTGGAAAACTGGGATGATCGAGAACTGATCCTGCCCCTTCTCTAATGGAACAAGAGTGAACCAGGATCTTCCTCCTTCTAATGTTTGTTCTTTATTACCCATCTTTTCCAACAAATCTTTTAAATCTGATAACTTGGTTTCTTCCTTAATAAATTCTCCCATTGTTTTCAAAATTTCCTGGAAATGTCTCTAATTCTACAACCGAAGGTAAGGAGGAAATTGATGGGATAAGTACCTACATCATGGTCTCGTCTCCAATATAGATGAGAATTACAGGAAGATTTAGGCTGAATATCAGGAAAAATGTCCTAAACGTTAGAGCAGTACAACAGTGGAATCAATGAGCTCGAAAGCTGGCAAGTGCTCCCACGCTGGAGGCACTGAAGGGAAATTTAGACATAGAGTAGGAAAACCCTGCTCTTAAAGGCTTCCTTTTTATTGTTGCTAGATTTGAAGTGAACAAACAAAAACTCCTGGAGTCAATGGGCATGAAATATTTTTTTTAGATCAGCTGATAACAATAGCATAATATCATCAACAACATACACCAGAGTGTAGGAAACCTTTGGCCCTTCAGACATTTTGGACCCAGCCACAGTCAGCATGGACAACCATAAGAAATCTTAGAACTGCAGAGCTGGAAAGGACTCTATGAATTGTCAAGTCCATCCCTTGTGGAGGAGGCACAACAGGGGAATTGAACTCTCAACCACTGGCTCCACAGCCAGAGACCTAAACCTGGCTGAGCTATCCAACAGTTCTCTACACATATTCCTTTGTCTGCATCCTTCTTAAAGTGCAATGTCCACAACCAATTGTTAGCCACCTAGAGTGGTCCTCACCCGACCAGATAGGCGGGATATAAATAAAATAAATAAAATAATAAATAAATACTGCAGTTGTGTTGAATAGACTGGAACTAGTACTTTATGGGATTTGGGGACTAGACATCTCTTAATGCAGAGGTGCCCAATCCCTGGTCCGCGGGCGGTCCATGGCTTGAGCTGGACTGGGGCACAGAGAGACGCCCTTCACCCCTGTGTGCACTTCCCTTCCCCCCGCACAGCCCATTTGCGCATATGCCTGAGTGCTTGCATGAGCACTGCGCATGTGCATGAGCGCAGGGGGGTGACCCGCCTTCCCCAGCCAATCCACGGGGATAAAAAGATTAAGGACCAGTATCTTAATGCATCCCAAAACAGCATTGGCCTTTTTTGCAACTGCATCACACTGATGGCCCTCATTCAGCTGGTAATCTACAGTCAAGGTTCTTCTCACATGTGGGTGGTCTAGAGAAAGGTTTATATTCAGCCTGGAGGAAGGCGGTGCCACATGGCCTCTTCCAATTTAAAGAGACCCTTGTCCAGCAGGCCGAGGCAAAGAGGAAGTCCTGAAACCAGCAAAACCAGGGAGCTGGACAGGGGACAGATTGGATTGGTCTTCCGTGTGGAAGGGATTGTCACTCTCGAATTGGCCTCCTCAGTCACACTAGACGCTGTTCCAAGTCCTCCATCTAGAGCATGTTACTATAGTCTCTCCAGACTGAAGGATGCCTACTAGTTGAGTGAAGTAATGGTTTATTGTCACCCTCTAAGGAGAGATGAAATATTGACATGATTGAATAGGTTATCCAACCTCAAACTGAAATAAATGCTTTCAAGGATAAATGACAGGTGTGACAGACTGAAACTACCAAAGACCGATGTGACATTTCACAATGCTCAGAGGTCATTGTTCAATTGTCATATGTTTAACCTTGACAAGGTATCATGGGGACTAGACATCTCTTAATGCAGAGGTCCTCAATCTCTGGTCCGCGGGCTGGTGCCGGTCCATGGCTTGAGCTGGACTGGGCCGCAGAGAGAGATGCCCTCCACCCGTGTATGCACTCCCTCCCGCACAGCCCATTTGCGCATGTGCCTGGTTGCCCGCATGAGCACTGCACCACCCTTTGAGCATGTGCACGAGTGCAGGGGGGTGCCCCACCTTGCCCAGTTGGTTCACAGGGCTAAAAAGGTTAGGGACCACTGTCTTAATGCATCCCAAAATAGCATTGACCTTTTTCTGCAAACACATCACACTGATGGCTCTCATTCAGCTGGTAATCTACAGTCAATATTCTTCTCATGTGGGTGGTCTAGAGCACTGGTTCTTAACCTTGGGTTACTCAGGAGTTTTGGACTGCAACTCCCAGAAGCCTTCACCACCAACTGTGCTGGCTGGGGTTTCTGGGAGTTGCAGTTCAAAAACATCCGAGTAACAAAGAGGGATGAAATATTGATATGATTGAAGAGGTTATACAACCTCAAACTGAAACAAATGCTTTCAAGGAGGTGACATTTTACAATGCTCAGAGGTCATTGTTCAATGGTCATATGTTGAACCTTGACAAGGTATCGAGAGAGTGTTTATTAATGCTAGCAGGGAAATCAGTACGTATGCACCTTAGGTGTCAGTACGGAATTCCAGAATGCATACAGTAACTTTTACAGAAGTTATGCAAAGCATCGTAAACAAAGCAAAAATCATCTAGTTTTCTTTTAAGTGTGCACGAGTGCAGGGGGGTGCCCCACCTTGCCCAGTTGGTTCACAGGGCTAAAAAGGTTAGGGACCACTGTCTTAATGCATCCCAAAATAGCATTGACCTTTTTCTGCAAACACATCACACTGATGGCTCTCATTCAGCTGGTAATCTACAGTCAATATTCTTCTCATGTCACACTAGACGCTGTTCCAAGTCCTCCATCTAGAGCATGTTACTATAGTCTCTCCAGACTGAAGGATGCCTACTAGTTGAGTGAAGTAATGGTTTATTGTCACCCTCTAAGGAGAGATGAAATATTGACATGATTGAATAGGTTATCCAACCTCAAACTGAAATAAATGCTTTCAAGGATAAATGACAGGTGTGACAGACTGAAACTACCAAAGACCGATGTGACATTTCACAATGCTCAGAGGTCATTGTTCAATTGTCATATGTTTAACCTTGACAAGGTATCAAGAGAGTGTTTATTAATGCTAGCAGGGAAATCAGTACGTATGCACCTTAGGTGTCAGTACGGAATTCCAGAATGCATACAGTAACTTTTACAGAAGTTATGCAAAGCATCGTAGACAAAGCAAAAATCATCTAGTTTTCTTTTAAGTAGTCCTTCCCCACAGGATGCCTGCAGGTCTACACATTCCGCAAGCTTCCACGTCACCTTTTCCTTTCTTTGTGGATTCTGCTGTGAGAAGTGAGATGTGCACGTTGTTTGAAGCACTTTCCACATTCCAAGCACGGAAAGGGTTTCTCCCCCGTGTGGATTCTCATGTGGGGGACAAGGTGTGTCCTCTGACTGAACGTCTTTCCACACTCCAGGCACTGAAAAGGTTTCTCCCCCGTGTGGATTCTCATGTGAGAACGAAAACTCGCCACCACCAACTGTGCTGGCTGGGGTTTCTGGGAGTTGCAGTTCAAAAACATCCGAGTAACAAAGAGGGATGAAATATTGATATGATTGAAGAGGTTATACAACCTCAAACTGAAACAAATGCTTTCAAGGAGGTGACATTTTACAATGCTCAGAGGTCATTGTTCAATGGTCATATGTTGAACCTTGACAAGGTATCGAGAGAGTGTTTATTAATGCTAGCAGGGAAATCAGTACATATGCACCTTAGGTGTCAGTATGAAATTCCAGAATCCATACTGTAACTTTTATAGAAGTTATGCAAAGCATTGTAAACAAAGCAAAATCAACTAGTTTTCTTTTAAGCAGTCCTTCCCCACAGGATGCCTGCAGGTCTACACATTCCACAAGCGTCCACGTCACCTTTTCCTTTCTTTGTGGATTCTGCTGTGAGAAGTGAGATGTGCACGTTGTTTGAAGCACTTTCCACATTCCAAGCACGGAAAGGGTTTCTCCCCCGTGTGGATTCTCATGTGGGGGACAAGGTGTGTCCTCTGACTGAACGTCTTTCCACACTCCAGGCACTGAAAAGGTTTCTCCCCCGTGTGGATTCTCATGTGAGAACGAAAACTCGCCCCCTGATGGAAAGTCTTCTCGCACTGCATGCATTTAAAAGGTTTCTCCCCTGTGTGGATTCTCATATGGGAACAGAGGGTGCTTCTGTGCCGGAAGCTCTTTCCGCATTCGGAGCATTTGAAGGACTTCTCCCCTGTGTGGATCCTTTGGTGGGAACTAAGAGTGCTTCTGTCATTGAAGCTCTTCCCACATTCTAAGCATTCGAAGGGTTTCTCCCCCGTGTGGATCCTCATATGGCGAACAAGGTGTGTTCTCTGACTGAAGCACTTTCCACATTCTGAGCATCGAAAGGGTTTCGTTCCTGAGTGGACTCCCATATCGTGAGCAAAGTTTGTGCTGTGGCTGAACTTTTTCCCACATTCTGGGCATTCAAATGGTTTCTCTCCCGGGTGGTGTATCATATGACAAGGAAGGTCTGTATCTGTGCTCTGATGGATGCCCTTTTCACAATCCATGTATCTAAATGGTGCCTTTTCTCTCTGCATCATCAACTCTCTTTCCAGAGATGAAGTATCACAAAAATCCTCACTATATTCTGAGCATTCCACCATTTTTCTCCCTTGGTGGATCTGCCAGTGATAATTTAGATTGGTCTGACAGTTGCATACACTTTCTTTGCTTTGGTCTATTTCTTCTTGGACAGAAGAAAATTCACGGAAATTTCTGTGTGGAAAAGAAAAGGACTCGTTCCTCTTCTCTTCGCTTTCAGTTTTTATCCCCTGGGTTTTCTCCCTCTCAGTAAATTTTTCTAAACATATTTGAAGCCATTCTTCCTCAGACCTGCTCCCTCCTACACCAGGAGCTGAAAGAAGACAGAATACAGAAACCTGGGTGTACCGAAAATATAAAATGGAGTCTCAAATCGGGAAACTAAACCCATCAAGTATAAACTAACTTAACCACAACTAAGCAGAAACTTGTCATCTGCGGAAGAACTTTGATTCCACACCCTAACACCCTCGGGAAGAAAGCACCAGAATTTTGTAGAAGTGCTCTACAACTTAATTGGTTTCATTGACTGAACTTTATGATGAAGCAATTAAGGTTAAGAAATGTATATGAGAGTGTCTTCTTGTAGTGGCAATCGACTTCTTCAAACGCAAAATCATTGCAGATTTTAATTCGTAATAGCTGGTGAATGAGGTAAATTTGCCACAATACTTTGATTACTATATTTTTTGTTTTACCTGCTATGGCTACCTCTCTGAAAACAGCTACAATGGAAAGGAAAACTTACCCAGAGACACCACGTGGGCCAAATTCTCTTTCATGACTTCCCAGTGCAGAGCCCTCTGGCCCGGATCCAGCAGCGCCCACTCCTCCTCCGTGAAAGACACAGCAACGTCCTCAAGAGTGACGGGATCCTGAAATGAAAGGAAACTTCTTATCCTGACAGGTGTCACAAGTGTTTGTTTTTTTAAAAGTACGCTCCTGAAGAGAATAAATGTCAACAATAGTCAAGCTCAACCACATCATAGTCCCAAATTTTCCTCACCAGCATTTGTGACAAAACAAATCGGACTGGGAAACTTCTTTCTGTCTGTGAGCCCCACTGAGTGTTGTTGTTGTTGTTGTGACTTACATACTGCCCCATAGTGTGAGAGCCCTCTCTAGGTGGTCTATAACATAATTAAACAAGGAACACTTTGCCCCCCAACAAGCTGGGGACTCCTCTTACTGACCTCGGAAGGATGGAAGGCTGAGTCAACCTTGAGCCGGCTACCTGAATCGGTCAGGATCAAACTCAGGTCATGAGCAGTGGCTTGACTCCAGTACTGCCGCTTAGCCCCTCGTGCCGCAAAGTTCTTGGAGTGAATGGCTGGAGGGCAAATCCTCCTCCATTTCCAGATCCATTGAATCCAGCGGGTGCAGCACAACAACAACAGGATTTACTGGGATTGGGGAAGAACAAGAGGCTCCCTCCCTGGGACAAAGTCATGGCGCTTGATTCTCTGGAGCCCCACACCAGTCTGGGCACCAAGATCACACCCCTGCGGCTCAGGTGCCCTTTGTTCCTTTTATGGGAGGCCTCCACAGAGCCAGAAAGTGGTGGTTCTGAGGAAGGACGGCTTATAAGCCCACAGTCCAGACAGGGCCTGAGGTTCAGGAGTACCGAAACTACTCCAGGAGGGGGCACGGCCTCTCCTTTTGCCTTGTCCTGCCTTCATTCTTGTCTTTGGGGGGGGGAGTGGGTCCACCTTGGCGCAGCACAGGCTGACACGGGCCATCCCCGCATTGAGGCAGAAAGCAGAGGGACAAACGAGATTCCTTGGACTGGCTAGCTTGTTCCTGAGGGACCTGAAGCTGGACAAGGACCCCTTGTCCAGCCCTGAGCCTCCTCCACACTCCGGGCCACTCCTTTTCTATGTCTCACCCCCCCCTCCTCGGGTTGGATAGTTTTCCTGCTGAGAACAGGTCTTCTTTATCTCCCTTTGGACCTCCCCTCCCCTCTTCTCCAGTCTCTTTTATCGTCCTGAGCTGCAAGGAAGCTCCACCACCCCCCTCACCCTTCACCAGGTGGCTTTTCTCTACAGTAGCCAACACCTCCCCTGGCCAAGCTTCTCTTTCATGGCCTGCATGTATCCAGCAGCTCCTGGCTCTGAGAACTCTGCCTGGATATCCAGTGTTGGGGCTGATGGCCTACTGGGGGTGCCAGCAGAACCCCCCTCAAACAATCCTGTGTTGAAATTGAGTATCTAGATTCCACCCCCCTTCCCATCCCTTTCATCCCTACCTCTTCCGGCTGCACAGGCACTCTTTCCCTTCCTCCACAAAGAAAAGGTAGCCGAGGATCTGTGACTGCCATGATTCCAGGGCCTGCAAGAGAGACCAAGGGATGAGAAAATGTTTATTCTTCATAAACAGTGGGTCCCTTTACTGTACAAACACAGTATTTTGGGATAACAGAAGCTTAAATGTCTACTTGAATGCAGATCTGTCAACCTGGGAGGAGATGCGAGAGAGGGAGTCCAAGGAGGATGCTAGTCAGTTTCTTACCTGGCAGGGCAGGTCCTCCGCCGGTCTCCTTCTCCTTCAGGAGAGGCCTCTGTGTTGGGTCTGATATAGAGAAGCCTGTGAGCGATTCAGAAAACCCCTGCATCAAAAACAAGATTTGGACAGCCAATTGAGAAATAAAAATAATCTTCAATAGAGAAAGAAATTAAAGAAAGAAGAAACAATGCTGGCTTGAACCAAAAAAAGGGGGACATTCTTTGGTTAGACAAATTCTATTAAGAAGTGGGCACTGGGTGGAAATCAGATCTCACCAGCTGCTTCTCCTCCTGCTTCTTCTCAGCTGCCTGACTCAGGAGGAAACCTTCCGCCAGGGACACGGCCTGGGAAGTGGATTCCGGCTTGCACTCTCTGACCCAGATCCCCATGTCTGATGGGAGGGTGGTCAGGAACTGCTCCAGGATCACCAGGTCCAGGATCTCAGCCTTGGTGTGTCTTTCTGGCTTCAGCCACTGATGGCAGAGACTGTGGAGTTGGCTACAAACCGCCCGGGGCCCTATCCGCTCCTGGTAGCAGAACTCCCGGAAAGGCCGGCCCAGAACATCTGGGCTGTGACAGACCCCATCGAGGTTGTTCTGTGCAGTTCTTTCTGGGAATTCCTCTTTGTACCAAACCGACATGTCATCCAGCTGTTTCCCAGCTTCAGCACCAACGGAGTCCGGCACGTACATCTCCAAAAAAAAGAAAGAGGAATGCAGCAGAACAAACCTTCTTCTTTCTAGAAAAGACACAAAAGAATATAATAATATTAGGTAGTAAAGGCAAGGCAGGTACAATTAATGCGGGGATGGGGGGATCGATCGGCTTCTGTGCCAAATGATTCTAGAAATGGACACTGAAACCAGCTGTTTCCCAGCTTCAGCACCAACAGAGTCCGGCACGTACATCTCCAAAAAAAGAAAGAGGATTGCAGGAGAACAAACCTTCTTCTTTCTAGAAAAGATACATAAAAATAGAATAATATTAGGTGGTAAAGGCAAGGTAGGTACATTAATGCGGGGATGGGGGGAGCTGCATCGATCAGCTTCTGCACCAAACGATTCTAGAAATGGACACTGGAGCCTCCTGTGACATGATCTGAATCGCCTCTATGGCCCTCCTCCTCCTCAACTAGTTCATACAGCAACTCAGAGCTTGGCAGAGAGGCCGCAGCATTTCTCTCTGTTCTTAGCATAGCTTACCTCCGGGCCGCACACAACAGATGTGGAGGTTTTCCACACCTCAAGGCTGTCACTAAGACTTGGAGAAACCTCTGCCTCACTCCACGCAGCGAATAAGCGGCACTTTCCAGGTCTTGCAGTGCGGCCACTGAGACTTGTACATGGGGATGTCTTGGAAGCTCTAATGCTGGCGCTCCTCGCCCTAGCTTTCCCTCAACACCCCAAACGGACACACAGGCTCTCCCTGCAGACCCCTTCCGGCCCTCCTCTGAGGTGCTTCCCCCAGTGCACGAAAGCGCAGCACACACTTGCAGGCATGTCTGGTGGGGAGCTGGAAGATGCTGGAGGGTGGGTGCCCAACTCTGAAATCCCTCCTCACACACACAAACACACAAAACAGCCCTCCTCCACTAGGACAGCCTGCTTGGAGATGTCTCTCCCTGCCTCTCAATCTGGTGAAGAGCCAGAAACCCCTGAAACCTTATATTATTATCCGAGGACTTTGCCTTCATCTGGGGAAGCAGAGCAGATCCCTGAGACACCACAGGGCACCCCCACCCCGGGGGGGGGTTTGCACACTGGGGGTGCAGGAGGGATCATTCCTGGATTGACCTGGACGCCAACTGTCGGCCCCCACAAAGAAGGTTTCGCAGAGCAGAGATGGGGACTGACTGGTCTCCACCATTAAGAGTCTGGTTGCCAGGCATCCCGATTCAAAGGGGTGGGGGAGGATCCGTGGGGAAGGCTTGGTTTTTTTTGCAGGCTGGAAGGAAGGAAGAGGAGGTGGTTGGGGGGGGAGGGAAGAGCCCTAAAGGAGACTCATCTGCCCCGGGCTTGGAGGGAAGGAAGGGCGCCTGGTGCTTCCAGCGACTCCCTGCCGGGTGGAGGAAAAATCCTATAGGGAGTCCTGCCAGGAGAGGCTCCCCTCCTCCCGCGTTGCCCTCCCAAGCCAAGCCAAGCCAAGCCAAGGCGCCCCACTTCCTTCAATCGCTGCCCCACCGCCTCCTTCCCTCTCCCTCTCCCCTCACCCGCTCCCCGCCCCCCCCAAAAAGGAAGCACCTGCAGCTCCGCCCGGAACTCCCGAGACCGGACTCTGCCGGGGACCGAAAAAGGCGCCGGACCACCGAGGCGGAAACAGGAAGTGGACGGTCACCATGGCGTTTCGCCTTCTTTTTTCCCCCCCCCGTGACGCTCTGGGGCTCGCTAGTCAGTGGTTTTTAACCCTTTTCGTAAAAAGAGGCTTCTCAGCGGAGCACGGTGGCCAGAAACATCATCCCACTTGCAGGGGTGTAAAATTTACTGGAGACCTCTGCCAGACCGTTGCCCCGGATCGTGGCTGCGCTTGGAAAGCCCGTCTTGCCTTTCATTCAATGCGAGAATTGGCTCCACGTGGGCCTGGCCTGCCTTCTGAAGCCGAACCATCTGTAATTCTCCACAAGCCAAGAAGCTAAAATCCCAATAAGTCATAGAAAGTCCCAGTTAGGGACGTCCTCCGAGCCTTACCATGGCATTCACAAGGAAAGGAAGCATATGTTTTATTATAAATCTTCCAGGGTCCAACAATTTTTGTTAATGTACTTTTTTTTTGGAGGTGCCCCCAAAAGATGGGAGAAGCCATTAACACCTTGAACATCTCTCCCTGGGTTTCCTGACACCGGGACACCTCCAGAACTGGGCTTGGAAAAGTTCCTCCCTTCTCCCATTATCTCTTGACTACAGTGCCCAGCAGCCTTCACCAGCAAAGATGGAGGTATCCTGGCCTGAAACCTGCCACCTTCATTCTGGCCTAAAGAGTTCCACCTCAACCAGTAGACCATGTCTAGATGGGCGGCATATAAATGCAATAAACAAACAAACAAACCACCTCCTGCTCTGGTCGGCTTGGCTCACTTTCCCAGGGCCCCGAGCTTCCTTTCTGGGCTTGCTTTTCATAATGGCACGTCTTTCTCCTCCAGCAAAGGAACATGAGCATTGCTGAGACGAATCAGACCAAACGGTCTCCCCATCTCCTTTAGCAACCTGTTCGCAGGACGGGCAGAGCCTGTCAAAATGTGACATTTTGTATGAGCAAAGGGTTAAAATACTTGAGGATGTCGCTCAAAGCTCTTCGGAAAAAGTCAGAAAATTAAGCAAAGAGCGGAGAGTTTCTTGGAGCAAGTGGCCATTTGTTTCGAGCTCACTTCTGCGGCCCCAGCTAGAGGAACTTAATAACAAAAAATTCAAAACTGCGCAACAGTGAAATGGTGGATGATAAGACAAAGTCTTGGTCATCCACAGGAAAGGCTTTGGGATGGGAACCCGCAAAGGCAAATGTAGGCTATCCCTCCCCTAGGATGATCAGCTAGCAAAGGGTACATTCAGAGCTTTGAAACATACATTTTTGGGCAACAATTCCCTGAGTCCCCTGGGAAATGTAACCCAAAACAGGATCAGTCACAAGCCCTGCTGATTTCCAAAACAAGAGAGGGTTCTGGAGATGGGTAGCAAAAGAGCAATCGTCACCCTTTTGGCCAAAGCTGTGTGCCGAGTGTTTGTGATAATTCCACGAGAAAGCAATTCTGTACACTCTCAAAGTCCTGCTTGCCTTTTTAAAAAACTAAATCCACATATATGTGGTTTAGATATCATGTTATGCATAGAAGTAATGTAGATTAATAAAGCTTGTAGAATTAGGGAGACTGATGATGTATATGTGGGTGTCAACAAAGTTTTATTCTTGTCCGCTGAAGAGAGATGGAGCTTTTAAATGACTTACACCTTGATACCCAACTGAACTTAGATATGACTGACGTGGTTATCTGACCTCACAATGAAATGAGCCCTAAAAGGGAAAAATGACAGCTGTGATGGACCAACAGCAACCAAGTTACCAAGGAATGTTATAACTCTTATAGTGTTGTGAGGACCTTGTTCAAGTGAATCCACTTCACCTTGACAAGCTTTCTGGGGCAACTATAGGCAGGAGGTGAGTAAATCATCTGCTTTCCTGCTCCCAGCAGCTAGAGATGGTTTTACTCCCATCCAAGCTGACAGCCATCGTTATTTTTTGAGTTAAGAATTCCACCATTTCTGGTGCACTGTGTGAAAAAGGACTTCCTTAAGTCTATTCTCTCATGATTCAGTCACACCTGGTAATTACAGGCTTTGGTCCCATGAACAAGGAAGAAAATGTTTGTAGGGTGGGAACTGATTTGTGGTAATGCCTTTCATCATTTTGTGGAATAAATCACTTTCTCTGGAGAGATGGACAACAAGGTAATTTCACAAAATTAACTTGATCTAAAACTCTTTTAAATGAATGTTTCCTTATGTTTATTATCTGGCAACCAACCCTAAACCAGTGCTTGCTACTCCATTTTTTCTGAACAATTGCGAAGACTGGGGCCTTCATTACACTTGTCCAGAGGCACATTAAGATGGAAGGTGTCAGGAAGCATTTACTAATGCTGGCAGTATAGAAGTCCAAATTGCAGAATGTATAAGGTAAGTTTTGTAGAAGTTATATCAAATATCATAACAATTTAAAAATCAGTTCGTTTTCTTTTAATTTGTCTTTTCTCACAGGATGTATCCAAGCTGAAACATTTCTTTCACATCTGGCCGATCATTATATATAGAATTCATCTGGTACCTTTTCAGGCAAGGGTGTCCTTGGCCTGCTTACTTAAAGGATACCCTGCCTCCGTTAATTGAGGCTTTCTTCAGAAGGAAAATGCAGGAATGGCTACATGTTTCCATGCCCTGTAGAGAATGGCTGTTACTCATAATACACTGGGCTTAGCTAGACCCACAAGGTATAAAGAAAGTACACGGGGTACTTTAGGACATTAATACATTTGCTAGAGTCCAGGACGTGTGGGTCTACCATAAGAGTTACAAGGAGAAAGAATCTCCTCACACTCATATACAGTGGTGCCTCGCTTTACGATTGCCCCGTTTAACGACGAAACCGCATTATGACGAAGTTTTTGCGATCGCAAAACCATGTTTCCTATGGGTTTTTTTCGCTTTGCGATGATCGGTTCCCTGCTACGGGAACTGGTTCTTCGCAAAACGATGATTTTCCGACAGCTGATTGGCGGTTTCAAAATGACCGCCAGGTAAACAAAATGCCCCCCCGCTGTTTTCTGCGACGGATTCCTCGCTGCACAGGCAGCAAAAATGGCCGCCCTATGGAGGGTCTTCGCTGGACGGTGAGTTTCAAGCCCACAGAAACGCATTAAACAGGTTTTAATGTGTTTCAATGGGCTTTTTCTTTTTGCATTGCATTTTCGTTCTACAGCGATTTCGCTGGAACAAATTAACGTAATGCGAGACACCACTGTACGTATGTGGTTCAATATGGGGCTCTAGCCCTGCCTACCATTCCACTTCATCCTGACATCCCGTTACTTCTGCTTCATGACAGTCCCAATGAACACCCGCCGGGCAGCTCAGCTCGCTTGAGGCGGCGTCTAATATGTGTTTTCACACTTCCAAAGGTGGCCACAGCGGCCAAAAGGTGAAGGCCACAAGACTTCATGCAAAGTATAACATGCTAGCTTGGGACTGAACAAATCATCCTGGAAAAGTTGCAAAGAACAAAAAGGTAGATGAAAGTTATCTGAAGGACCTCCTGCAACATTGGCCAAGACCGGTCCGGCACTGCTGTAGAAAAGGCGCTGTTGAACTGGAAAAGAGTGAGAAGAAGGGAGGAGGGATACTCAAAAGAGCTGGGAGTACTTTTCCAAAAAAGAAAAGTGACTGTTCTGATGCTCTTGGAGTAAAGCAAAAGAAAAGACTGGGAGGTGAAAATAATGCAACAGGCTTCAAAAAATCATAAACACAGGATGTACCCTACCTGCTTTCATTACACTGACACATATATTGCCCTCTCCCAGATCTCGACAGAACATACTTCTGTCTCTCTCCAGTATGTTACACACTTGTAATGCTCAGCCTATGGAAAAAGATCTACAATATTCTCAGCTATGAGCATTACAGTGGAACCTCAACTTACGAACTTAATTCGTATTGGAACGGTGTTCATACGTCGAAACGTTCGTAAGTCGAAGCAAAATTCCCCATAGGAATGCACTGAAAACCATTTAAATTGTTCTGGCTGTTTTTGCTTCTTCTGTAGAGGCGCAGTTCGCAAGTAGAGGCGTTAGTTCGCATAGGAAGTAATGCAAAGCCCGTTAATCTGTTCTCTACCACTAGGGGGATAATTTTTTCTTCTTCTTTTGACCTAAGATGAACTTAGGTCAAAAAAAGGGCAGGAAAGGAAGGGAGAGGAGGGAACACCTTCTGAACACAAGACCTTTTAACCCAAGCACCTTTCAAACAAAACCAAGCACATTTTAGCTTTAAAAAAGGGCAGGAGAACACGTTTTAAATAGAACACTTTTTTTCTGTTTGTAAGTCGAAGCTCCGTTTGAAACTCGAAGCAAAATTTTGCGAATAGCGCGGTTCATAAGTTGAAATGTTCGTAGGTAGGGACGTTCATAAGTCGAGGTTCCACTGTATTTGATTCCTTATAAAGTGCATTTCCTGCCCAGAGGTTGCCGCACACTTTAAGAACTACCATCACTGTCTCTCTCTGTGGATTCTGCTGTGAATTGTGCACACTGATTGAAGCACTTTCCTAGTTCCAGGCGTTGTTTCTCCCCTGTGTGGATCCTCATATGGGAGACAAGGTGTGAAATCTGCCTGAATGTCTTTCCTCACTCAAAACACAATGCTTTCTTCCTCTGCATGAATTGCTGCAAGACCACAAAAACCTGCACCCTGAGGGAAAATATTCTCAACACTGAAAGCCTTTAAACAATCTCTCCCGTGTGGATCCTCATATGGGAACGAAGTCCACTTTTATCTCTGAAGCTGGCCCCACATTTGGAGCATTTAAATATCTTCTCCCCTGTGTGGGTTCTCACATGGAAAGCAAGGCTTCGCTTAACACTGTACCTCTTCCCACATTCTGGGCATTCATATGGTTTCTCTCCTGTGTGGATTCTCCGATGGAAACTAAGAGTGTTTCTACAGGCAAAACTCCTTCCGCATTCCAAGCATGGAAATGGTTTCTCCCCTGTGTGGATCCTCATATGGGAACGGAGGGTGCTTTTATGTCTAAAGCTCTTCCCACATTCAGTGCATTGAAAGGACTTCTCCCCTGTGTGGATTTTTTGATGGGAACTAAGAGTGCTTCTAGCCCTGAAGCTCTTTCCACATTCCAAGCAGGTAAAGGGCTTTGTCCCTGCATGGATCCTCATATGGGACTCAAGACTGCGCTTGTGACCAAACCTGTTCCCACATTCTGGACATTCAAAGGGTTTCTCCCCTGTGTGGATCCTCATATGTTCAACAAGGTGTGTTCTCTGACTGAAGCACTTTCCACATTTTGGGCATGGAAATGGTTTCATTCCAGCGAGCAGTCCCATATAGTGAGGGAGGCTTGTGCTGTGGCTGAACTTCTTCCCACAATCTGGGCATTCAAAGGGTTTCTCCCCTGTCTGGAGTCTCATATGAGAAGTATGGTCTGTGCTCTGACCGACGCCCTTTTCACACTCCGTGTGTCTAAATGGTTCCTCTTGTCTCTGCATCGTCAGCCCTCTTTCTAGGGATGAAGCACCACAAAAATCCTCACGGTATTCTGAGCATTCCATTGTTTTCCTCTCTCGGTGGATCTCCCAGGCAGCATTTAGACTCGCCTGGCAGTGAGAGCTTTCTTTGCACACGGAGAACTTCTGACATTCATTGCTTTGGTCTGTTTCTCCCCGGAGAGAGATTTCATGAAAACTGCCATATGGAAAAGGAAAAGATTCATCCTTCTTCTCTACAGTTTCAGTCTTTATTCCCTGGGTTTTCTTCGCCTCAGTACATTTTCCTAGACATATTTGATGCTGTTCTTCCTTAGACCTCCTCTCTCCCACCTCACCAGCTGAAAGAAAAGAAAAACGTGGCTTTAACGGGAAATAATACTGTAAACTAACTGAACCATAATTAAGCAGAAAGACCTTCGACTCCAAACACCTCGGGGAAGAAAGCATCGGGATGGTATAGAATTGTGACATACGTACTTTGATATTTGTGTGTTGTTCATAAATTGGTTTCATCAGCTGAACTTTATCACAAAGCCTTGAAAATTAACACATATATGGGACCATGACTTTTTGCAGCTGCAGTCGCCATCGGACACAACGTCATTGTGGATTTCAAATAATACAGTGGACCCTCTACTTAAGGAATTAATCCATATTGGAATGGTGGCTGCAAGTAGAAAAGTCTGTAAGTCGAATCTCCACTGACCTACAATGCACTGAAAACCGATTAATCCCATAACCAGTGGTTTTTATTCTATTTTTATTCCATTTTGTTTTTTTTCTGGTCTGTAAGTCGATTCTCTGGCTGCAAGTCGAATCTAAATTTTGCAGCCAGAGAAGTCTGTAACTCAAAAAGTCTGTAAGTCGAGCTGTCTGTAAGTCGAGGGTCCACTGTAGAAGCTGGTGGTGAGGCAAATTCACCACAATACTTTCCTTGTATTTTGTCTGACATCTTATTCTTCCTGGAAGAGACTCACACAGCTCTACCTCTCTGAAAATGGCTGCAAAGGAAAGGGAAAGGAAAGCTCACCCAGGAATACTGCATGGGCCAAATTCTCCTCCATGACTTCCCTGTACAGAGCTCTTTGGACCGGATCCAGCAGCGCCAACTCCTCCTCCGTGAAAGACACAGCCAGTTCCTCAAAAGCGTCTGCAACCTGCTGGAAAAGGAAACTCCTTTCTCTCATCGGTATCATAAGCGTTCCACCTTTTTAAAGTGCATTCCAGAAGAAAACGGATGCCGACGAACATCACTCGACCCTTCGCATATCATTTCCCCCTGATTCCCTCACCATCATCTGCGACAAAAGCAGGTTCAATGGGGAAGTTTATTTCAGGGTCCCCCTTCCTCCTCTATTTCCTCCTACCTGTCCTGACTGTAGGGGCAGAGTTTCCATTCCTCCACAAAGAAATGATGAGCCAGGATCTGTCCTCACATTTCCAGGTTCTGCCAGGGAGATCAAGGGGTGGAAAGATATTTCGGTTTCATAAGCATTTCATTTCTTAAATTTATATAAAAAGTCATTGATTGATTGATTGATTGATTGATTGATTGACTGATTGATTGATTGATTGATTGATTGATTGATTGATAGACTGATTGGATTTCTATCCCGCCCATCTAGACCAAAGGTCATTCCTCTGGTTTTGATTTACAAAAGGTTAATCGTCAACATGAGCACAGAGGATCTAAAATACCATCAACACAGAGAGATACAAGAGAGAGGGAGTCTTAAGCACAACAGGCTCACGAGCGTCTTACTTAACAAGGCAGCTCCTCCATCCTTCTCCTCTGTATTTTTCAGGAGGAGAGACTCTTGTGCTGAGTCCGATGGAGCATCCATCGCCTGAGAGAAGCCAGAGAAGGATCCTGAAAACACCTGCAGACAAAACAAAATAAGGATAATCAACACAAGACTGAAGAAAGAAATTAAAGAATAAATGGTACAGGAAAAGCTCTCAGCAATAAGAAAGAGGGGCATGCATAGATAGGATGATTTCCATAAAAGGGTGGGCACTTTTGGTTGTTGTGGGTTTTTCGGGCACTTTCTTGGCCCCTCAAGAAAAGAAATCTCACCAGCTCCTCCTCCTCCTTCTTAACTGCTCTCTGGCTCAGCAGGAAACCTTCTGCCAGGGACACAGCTTGGGAAGTAGATTCCGGTTTGCACTCTCTGACCCAGATCCCCATCTCTGGTGGGAGGACAGTCAGGAACTGTTCGAGGATCACCAGGTCCAGGATCTCCGCCTTGGTGTGTTTTTCTGGCTTCAGCCACTGACGGCAGAGACGATGGAGTTGGCAGCAAACCGCCCGGGGACCTTCATCCTTTTGGTAGCAGAAGGCTCGGAAATGCTGGCGCTGAACCTCTGGGCTGAGGAAGTCCCCATGGAAGTTAGTCTGTGCTGTTCTTTCCAGGTATTTCTCTTTGCTCCAAACCTCCATGTCATCGGGCTTTTTATCAGCTTCAGCACCAGCCGAGTCTCCTCCAAACCACAGGAACGTAACAGAACGAAGACTCTACCAAAGACATATAATTGTTATAACCGTTAAAGAAGGCATCTTTGCCTCATCTGTTGACAGCCAGAAGCCCCTACCCTAAAAGGACTTTAGCACACAAATATTTTTGCTCAGTTGGAGAATGACATTACCCAAGCTCTCTTTAGGTCTCTGCCAAGTGAATGAGTGGAACTGAAACAGCTTATGAAACCGAAAGCAGTAAGAATCTGCATTAAAAGGGTGAGAGAAAACCTGTACTGGGATAGTTAGTAGATTCCATAAAGCAAAGTGTGCTGCTTATGTACTGCCTCATAGCACTTAGAAGCACTCTCAGGGCAGTTTACAAGTTAATTACGCAAGCTGCACATTGTGTCCCCCCCCACAAGCTGGGTACTCAATCTACTGACCTCAGAAGGATGGAAGGCTGAGTGAACCTCAAGCCAACTAGATGCAATTGAGCCCAGGTCCTAAGCAGAGTTTGGCTGCATTACTGCAGTTAAACCATTGTGCTACAACGTTATAACACTGTGAAACACTGAAGACAAGAAAAAAAGACAGTATATAGGAAACACCGACTCAAAAGTCAATAAACGAAGCCACGGGCTCCAGTTTATAAAATCTTAGTAGGGGCTTGATGCATATTACAAGTCTCATTGGCAGAGGGGTCTGTATGAGTGCATAAGAATGGGGGTGTCTCTGTCCATAAGAAGCAGTTTCCATAGGAAGCTGGAACATGCTCATAGAAACACAGTCTTCCTGGTTTTCATTGTGGGCAGGAAGGGAAACGTTTCATGAGGACTGAAGGGAGATGCTGTAGGGATCGCCCTGCCTGGGCTAATGTATAAAGTTGTTTGCATGCACCAATGGGAGTTGTTAGGAGACGGAGCCAGGGAAACTAGAAGGGAGGAGTGAGGCACATGAGAGCAGTTAGATTCGGTTAGTCAGGGAGACAATTAGTGAGATCCTGAGAGAGTCTGAGGTGAGAAGTCAGAGAGGACATGGTTGCTGTATGCTTTGGGCTGGCTGCCCGTGTTGTTCAGGTTTTTCTTCCTAACGCTTCGCTAGTCTCTGTGGCAGGCATCTTCAGAGGACAGGAGTCAGAATGTTGTACTGTAAATATATGCAATAATTCTGTGAAACGGTGAAGCCGAGAAAAGGGAACAACTGTACAGTATATGGGACCGCTTAACTTTAAAGCCAGTTTTGTTTACAAGACCTGATCAAGGGCTTGAGGCAAAGAAGAAGATTCAATAGCCTGGGTGGGGAGGGGCATAAAAATTATGGGAAACTTCAGGCCTGGCAAGCAGGGAAGCTCCTCAAGGAAGCAAGATTTCGGTGGTCTTCCCTGGGTGTCTGGGAGGAACTGCCTGGAGACACCTTTCTTCTTTCTCCAAAAGCTCCACTGCCGCCGCTCCTCCCCCCTTTCTCTTGAGCTGCCTCTTCTTAATTATTGGCAGCCAAAAGGACATTAACCCAGTCATCAAATTTCACCCAACCGCCCCCCTAACAAAAAAGCTAACACTGGAGCTTCTCTGAAGGCCCTGCAAGAGGGCAAGGGCATCATCCGCCGCCTGAGATGTCGCTCAAACAAAACCCAGCCGGAGCCCTTCCAGAGACCAGCCTCTCGGGGGACAGCTTAGGTTGGGGCTCTTTGGCCGGACCCCCCCCCCCTTCCCGTTCCCAGCCCGCAGAAAAGTCCTCCTCCTCCTCCCACCCCTCCCCAAGGGGGTTTCCAATCATCCTAGTTCGGAGTGATGGGGGTGGAATCCATGGGGAGGGATCGCCTTCACAGGCTGGAAGGAAGAGGACGTGGGGTTTTTTTTGGGGGGGGCGATCCTCAGAGGAGGCTCACCGGCCCCGATCCCAGAGGGAGGGAAGGAAGGAAGAAGGGAGGGGATCGTGGTTCTTCCAGGGACTTCCTCCTTCCAGCCGAGGCTCCCTTCCACCAGGCTCTGCTGCCTCTCGACACCGTCCTCCAGCCTTCCCCCCCCCCCCAAAAACCGAGCCGCCCTTCCTTCTCCAGGCGATGCCCCGCCGCCTCCCTCCCTGGCTCCGGAGCTCACCCTCTTACCGGACTTCCAAAGAAGGACCTACCCGGAACTCCCGCGACGAGACTTGCAGGCGGGACGGGGGGGAAAAGGCACCGGACCTCCAAGGCGGAAACAGGAAGGGGAACCTTCTGCCACTGTCCATCCTGTTTGACGCTCTGGGACGCGCTAGTCGATGGTTTTAACGCTTTGGGAGAGAAACAGCGCCTCCCACGCGCAAAGGTTACAGCATCATCCCCTTTCTTGGTTTACCTTTTATTGGATGTTCTTTTCATCCGAAAGAAACTTAAAGTGAGTACATGCTGTACTTTGCAAGCCTATCTTCCTTTTAATTTAATAGTACAATCTTTTCCATTGTGAGAGGGTATTGTCTTTTATGGTTTTTTTTTTGTGAGCCCCCTCAAGGCTCGTATGTGGAAAGGGGGGAATGTATAATTTGAATGA